CAGGGCTGGCCAGTGGTTAGGCACTGTAATCAAGCTTCTACTCTTACTGGCCACGAACACGGGCCCCACACGTGCCCGAGATGGCTTTCCACGCGAGCACAGTGGTTCACGCGGCTCCCTGCGATCTAGGTCCCACCTGGATTCATGAATATTCTGCCGTCTTGCCGGACACAACCTGCCCACACCCCAGTCACACCCCCCACCACCACCACCATAAGCAAATGAAACAATTCGCGCAGATTTGTTCCAGGTTAAACCGTAAGACATGTCAGCACAATCCGAACACGACGACGACGTGTTAATGCACGGCAGCTGCTGCGAGCAGCGACGGCGTGGCCCTTTGTCGGTCCACTGCTGGACGAGGGCCTCCGCCGTGCCGTGCGGCTCGTGGGGGTGGGGGGGTTATTTGACCATACTTCACCAACCACGCCGGCCAGCGTGGTTGGTGTAAGAGGGGAGCAGAGGCTCTGCGCGAGCCTCAAACACGGCACGATTTAAATTTTTGCTGCAGCGGCTCCCTCTGCTGAAAATATAGCATTGTAAAAAAAGAATGTTAATCATTTCAAAGTCAGTCTTAATTTTTTTTTACAGAACTACGTACATTCGCACATTTCAAAAGTTTACTTTTCCCCCGATCAAACGGCAGTCGTACAACTTAACGAGTAATCAATAATTCATTATACTTATCACCAAGAACTACCTTTTGTTCCTCAATGGAAACATTTAGAATGGAGGGTGTTTTGTTGTAATTAGCCACGAAACAAGCGACGAGTGTGTAAGGCTCACAAGCAAATGCGCATCCCCCAATCCACTCCGAAGCAGTGAGAAGGGCAACTGAAATCACCGGTCCGATGTTTCTACGGCCGAGGAATGCGTGAAGACGACGACGCACGTGGTGGGGCGGCCCGGACACCTGATGGGAATGCCGCGGCACTGAACCACGCGGCTCGAGGGGGAAGACAGCCCCCCCCGCCCCGCGTGAGGCTCGTTGTTGTGTACGAGGCACTTGGCGGCTTGGAAAAACAAAAAAATATCAAATTACGCAAAACTTTTTGGCCGATTTAATTACCGGGACTTGTTTAAAACTCAATTTCGGACTTTTGACAATCCTTCACAGTATGAATTTGGCATCAGCTAAGTCAAGGGGTCTATTGTTTTCGCGGTCAGGTTAACATTCACCGCCAGTGGGACCCACCCAGAACAAAACCGCGATCCGCCACGCTTCCAATCGGTTCCACTTTCTCCCGCTGCAGTTCAGCAGAGGTCCTCTAGGCAAAGGGCATGGGACCACGTCACGAGTGGTTATCTCCACGTAACACGTCCAACCACAACACATCCATGATCGCAATTGTATGAGTTTGTCAAATGTAAAATCCACCAATAACCTGGATGCAAGTCCCTTTTACACAAACCGACATCCGTTTCTCGTGATATTAAAAAGCGGACTTATCCATGACTGAACTAGACTTAATCCTTGCCAAACATTTTTTTTTGTACAGAAAAGACAGACAAGCCATTTAAAAATATAAACAAGAGGTTAAATGTTGTGAGTGCAACTGTAAAATCATATGGATTTTTTGGGATTAATTTTGTATGTAAAGTGGACAAAAAGTCCTCTCCAGTGACACGGGGACAATTATCGTGATGCAAAGTTTACAAATAAATTGTACAAAAAGGTTAATGCGGATTTCCTGACGCATACAGTACTTGCATTAGTACCATTCACAGTGTAGTACTAAACATTACCACTTTATATACTTTTTCTCACACTGTCTGGCAATATAAACTTCAAAAAGAACACCTCTGTAAACTCTATTGTCAAGGCTCAATCTCTTACAATAAATCTGTGCTTTGAGTGGTGCACATCATATCATAACAAAAACACAAACCACATCCTGGAATACAATGTGCGACGGAAAGGAAAAAAGCAGTCGAGATCTTGCGGATTCATCTCCGTGCTGCACAATCACTGAAAGCAGCAACGCCTTTAAATAATGTCATGCTCATACGTAGAAATAAACCCACCTTGGATTTATTTTTTGGCGAGTCCAGGCAACAACTCGGAATGAGCTACACATTCTCATCCTAAATCAAATACATCAAGCCGGTCACCTGACGCAAGTCTTAAGGAATGACAAATGAAACATCCATTATTTAAATACTGTACTGCTCGTATCAAATACAATTGTCTTTTTTATATCATGGAATATTTTAAGCAAAACACCCTGAGAGAAAAATTCAAGAACACGAGGGGGGGGGGGGGGGGGTAGAACAGGACAGCGGCTGATTGAGGAACATCCCAAGATTGGGAGAATGGGGAAGGTAATCGTGATTATGGCAGAATGTAAAACAAATCACCAGGTCTGGACATGTCCAGACCGTACCCCACACGTGCTGTCAATGGTGTACAATCTGGCCATACACGATCAGCAGCCTGGTTAGCACGTTTTGATTACGCCACCGTCATGCAGACACACCGGTATCAAATCTCAAATAAAGATATGTTTCTGGCCATCACGAAAGGGCTGTGTGGGCAAGAGAAAGGACATATGGATAAATGCGCCCTCTGGCCTTGGTTAGACATAGGCAGCCGAAGTAGAGGAGTGGATTGAGACCCAAGTGTTGGGCCTCTGATCAATACGGAGGGCGCAATGTAGATGGGCCCTCATTGACATCCCAGCGCTGCAGAAGGAAAACAACGATTTAAAGCTTTCGTGACTGCAGGGATTCATCTTCTTGGTTCTTTCGGTAAAGTCATGTAGAAGGGAAGTAATAAAATAATAAAAATAAAACACAATAAAATAATTCTCACGACGTTTCGGCCACAACGCAAGCAGCCGTCCTCAGGTGAAAACCAGGTCTGTCGAGGCGACAGTCTGAATGAAACAGCACACGAGCTTGGAGCATATATATAAGCTGGGCGCCTTGACAAAGGAATTTGCATATCAAGAGGAATTTAGCATATTTATGGGAAATGCCGGAATGTGATTAGTACTACATATGCATGTGCATTATGCAGGATTAACAGCATCAAATGGAGAGGATATGGGAAATGCAGGTATGTGAATAGTACTAATTCAGCATCAAAGGGAGGGGATAGGGGTAGCATTAATAAAAGGAAGGAGTGTTAATAGTATGTAGCTGCAGTAACTAAAACCAACACGTAAACAACTAAAGTATAAACTACATAGTATCATCAGTATACTTACTATACTCTACAATAAGCTGAGTTACTAACAGTAATACATTACAATTCTACGTCGTAAAAATTATATATGCTTCCATCTAAACTTTATTCTCTTACATCACACGAGTCTACACCGTACTATATACTGCCAGACAAACCCAACATTAAATTATATACTGTATTGCTACATACTATTAACACTCCTCCCCTTGATTAATGCTACCCCTATCCCCTCCGTTTGATGCTGAATTAGTACTATTCACATACCTGCATTTCCCATATCCTCTCCCTTTGATGCTGTTAATCCTGCATAATGCACATGCATATGTAGTACTAATCACATTCCTGCATTTTCCATAATATGCTAAATTCCTCTTGATATGCAAATTCCTTTGTCAAGGCGCCCAGCTTATATATATGCTCCAAGCTCGTGTGCTGTTTCATTCAGACTCTGTCGTCTCGACAGACCTGGTTTTCACCTGAGGACGGCTGCTTGCGTTGTGGCCGAAACGTCGTGAGAATTATTTTATTGTTTTATTTTTATTATTTTATTACTTCCCTTCTACATGACTTTACCTAAAGAACCAAGAAGAAGGAAAACAACGTTTGGGCCTTGCCACATTCCCCCCATGGCAACATCTTGTTGAGTAACTTAACGAAATACAGGTACCCTGCGCGTACATCTCCACTATGAAATCTGAGTAGTTAAGAAAGATCCGAGAAGCTGGAACTTCATTTTGTGCGAACTCTTCACATGGAGGGGAAATGGCCAAGGGTTCATCTTCTGCCCTTCTGAAAAACCTGCTTTAGAAGGTAGTCAGTGCAATATGTACATCGGTTGTACAGATTTAAAATCTGGAATTAAGTGTAAGGATTAATTATCAGGTTGATTTAGAAATGTAAGAGAATTGTAGAGATTTTCTGCTGGTACTTCTACAGGCCAAGATAATGCAGGCTACCACACACACAAATGAGCATGTTGCATGGACTTAAGAACGATAATGAGCAGAAGTGACAGTTAAAATATAGTTTCCCAATTGTTTAGAAAGTTATTTCCATTGTAAAATTACAGTAATATTTTTCCTTTCCCCCCCACAAATCCAGGTGATAATTGGCCCTGAGCTGATAATCCTGTTGAAAGTGAGTTAATTGGCTGGGAATATTTGTGAATTAACCAGACTTATTCGTTAAGAAAATAACTATGTACCCCAATATACCCCCGATTCAAGCCTCAAAAATATGGAAAACCTTATTCAACAGAAAACATTCAACGATGCTCTGTATAGCGTAAAACAATTTGTCAACAGGTCCAACATTTACAATTATTCCAACATATAATTTACAAGTATATTTTAAATAATCAAACAAGCTATGTGTAAATTAATAATAAAAAATACCATCCCTAAATCACGAGGACAGTACTAAACATAAATATACAAACTTTTAAGCCATTACGTGAAACAGGACTTAACGTAATTCTAAAGTAATTTTTACAAGATACACTTCCAAAGCGTGGCAGAGAGAACCCGCGTGCCAATGAGGGGGGCCAGGAATCACGCAGCCGGCACAGGCAAACGTCTATGGCGAGTACGTCCGCCGTTCGGCAGCGAGGGCCACCCCCCAATGCATTTGGATTTTGCAACAGAAAGGCAACTTCGACAGACGCGTCGAACTATCGATATCACCTGGTAACACGCGCCCGCCACGTGACCATCACAACGAGGGGATATGTCTGCGCCGATGCACAAGATGGAGTGAACATTTGTTTTATTAACTTGGTTTCGGACGTCGCTGCTTCCATCGTCCTTAGAAACTGTGTTTTTTTAACTGGGTTTTTTTTTGCAATATAAAAAAGGCATTAACATCATCGGAAGGTGACGCCAGACCAAACATCGATGTATAGCAGTCGTGAAAAAAACACTTAAAAGCCGACGAGAGCACGAGTGTTGTCGGAAATTAACACTTCCCTGCGAACGTGATTAAGATTACACCAGTCATCTCTGACATCGGTTGAGATAGGAAATAAGATTTGTTCCCTTATATATTCACATTAAGGAGTGGTGATGCAGACTAAAGCACGGTTAACCAAGAGGAAGGAAAAAGTTAGGGCATAAGGAATAAGTAAACTCGTGCAAGCGAGAATGAACAATTTAAATCACCGATTTCATTATCCTGCCAGTTTGCAGCCCAGCGGACAAAAGTCCTGCCACTGTTTAATGCACTTGAATGCGTGGAAAGCTAAAAACCTTTTAAAAAGACCAGTTAATGCAAATATTTTACGTCATAAAAACCTGATTTGGTTTTCAAAGGGTATTTTTTTAAAACTGACTTTCGTGTACTTTCTACCATCGTCTACATTGTGCCATAGAAACACGATTCAGAGCAGAACTCCTTTCAGAGATAATCCCCCTCCTGCCGTCACCGTGCCACCTGTCCCCGTCGCCCACACAGCCCCCGCGTACGCGAGCCCCGACAGCAGCAGGCTCCGCTTGCTCGCACGCCGGCTCCGCTTGCTCGCACGCCGGCTCCGCTCTATCCACCCAAGAAAACCGCCTGCAGGAACCAGCTGGTAGTCTCCACATCATGCACCTCAACACAAAGCGGACACCACTAAACAGTTATTGTGCAATAAAGTGACTAGTCCCGGTACAAACACGCGGGTACTCCTAAAACCCACGTTGCACTGATTGGCATTCCGTGTGTCAGCCTGAGGTTAACAGCCCCAAAAGAACTCGAGAGGAGCTGGTTCATCGTTCTCAACAATCGAGACACCATCGTGGCCACAGCTGTTGATGCCCACCCACGCCTCGCTTCCAACGCGTTCTCTGCTCTCAAGGAGGGGATGGTGGCTAAACAACAGAATCGCACTGCTACCAGTAGGTTGCCAACACTCTGGTTTTGAATTTCGGGGTGTTTTGTTATTTTTAAAGTAAACCTGCTTGTATTATAAACAATTTTTTTATTGTTATTTTACCAGGCAAGGCCCACTGAGCTATGTAGCTGTTTTTCAGAAGCGACCTGGCCACAAATGATAGCTCAACGAAGTGGCTTATCACGTGAAAATGTATAGCAGGCAAATCTAAATTCACATTAGGTTAGTTACAAAAGGTTGCATGAATTAACTCTTACTCTCCCCACAAAGTTACAAGGACATGGTTGTACCAAGGGCCCCCCCCAGCCCCCCACCCCACCCATATCTTTGTGGAAATCAAAGTGCTGGGGTGCTGTGGCCAGCGGTGAGACCCTGGTGATAAGGCTTAGCAGACGGAGCAATTTTGCAGATGCAGTCTCCGTTAGTGCAAGCTGCCCAGAACCTGGCGGTCCGCGAAGCCTCGTACATACAACCAATAACTTTGAATGCAAAAGTTCTCCAAATAAACATTTTGGGTATAAAAAAAAAAGCTTTACAAAAGCTTGGGTGGTGCAGCCTTGCAGCGTCCCACTCACGCCACTGCTGGTGGCAGAAAGGCCTCCATTAGAGGGAGCTCCCCTCTCGAGGGTATTTGGGAGAGCACCCATACTTTACCCCACGGGCACACGCCCTGCTGACAGACTTACGGTGCTGCGCAAATCTATTATACTGTTGGGTGGCTGGTGGCAGGCGAGTTGGGGATTTAAGAAACTGCATCCCCCACCCCCCCCCCCCCAGGCCGTTGTCCAACCCCAGGAATGGGCCGGTATTTCAAAATGGAACATTTGTGGGGGGCAGGGGGGAGTCTGCCGCCGTTTGCGGGTAGCAATAAAAAGACGACGGAAGCGACTCTGTACTCAAGACGGAAAAAGCGATCGCGCACGAGGGAGGAGGCGTCAGACTCGGCAGTGGGGAGCCTACAAAGGCACTCAAGGGGAGGCACCGCAGTTGCAAGAAACCGTTGCGAGGAAACCTTGGTTCAGACAAAAACGGGTCTTGTCTTATAAATAAAACGCAATGCAGGACCCGGAGGAAGTCGCGTCACATGGAGAAGCGCGTGTGATCAACGCGCCGCTTGCTTGCATGACCCATTGCAAAAGTCAAGATGTGGCTCTCGGTCCCACCGAAGGTCAATTTAAGTAACAAAGTTGCATGACATTATGCTGTCAACGAAGTTTAAGAAAGCATACCTGGCAAATACTTTGCAGTTGAATTTAATCCAAAGCATTTCATTTGATTAGACGAAGCTTTACTGAATTATGGATATCTTTGAAATTGAAATACTGAGCAGCAAGTCGATTTTTTTTGCAGATGGGCCCCCTTTTGCATATTTGTTGATACACAAGGATATGGGTGCATGAAGGCAGGGAAGGGGCCACTGCTCTATGCCTTCACAACCGCTACGGATAAATGTGCAGGGGGGGGGTGGCGAACCTTGCGCTGTGCCCACTCAAGAGCCTACATGAACCGCCCCACCCACCACGGACGATGCTCGATTGATCGGCATGGGCCCCCTGACCCCCCCAATGCTACTGTCTCCTCCCATGTGCCCGGTGGTATGTAACTACCACCTCGGGGAGTTTGAGCTCAATCTTACAACGCAGGCGAGGCTCACAGTGGCACAGCTGGCGCATCTCCTTGCCGTCTCGGTGCTCGGGGCAGGACCTTTTTATTTGGTCCCTCTATGCCAAAACTAAACGCCGCTCTCACTCGACACCGCTCCGATGACACACAGCGCAGCCACGAGCCGGCTCTTCCTCCCGTCGGCCGCGGGGTGAAGGGGGAAAAGTCACGTGACCGTCAAAGCACTGCAAATGGGCCAAGTCGTGCCATTACAGCCAAGGCAATAGTAGCCGTTCCTTCGGCAAATTGCATGCCACTTTGCGATGCACCTTTCTGCTCACTTAGCATCGCTTATAGGGGGACTACAGCCGGACAGGGGCAGCCACAAACTCCCGCAGGATGCTGCGCGCGAGCTGCAAATTGTTCTGGGCAATCACAAGGGCACGGTGCACATCTTCAAAGGAGTACCCCTCCCTCATCAAAAGGGATATTAAAGTTTCACGTTCTTCCTCCGCCGACTCTTGCTGCTGCGACGAGTCGAGCCAGCCGTGCTGACTGGTGGGCCGAGCGTCTTGCGTTGGGGACTCGTACAGGATCTGGGACATGCTGCGCTCCGCGCTGGCCCTCCGCGGAAGAGGCTTGGGTGGGCGGGCTGGAGCCTGGGCCAAATCTACACACGCAAACAGCGATGTGCTCGTCAGCGGCACGTACGCCATTCCATACGTCAACAGCCTCGTCCAGGCGATTCTACGTAGAAGAGCAGCAGCGATGGGACAATGTTCCATTACTGGCTCGCTGTGGACCGAGGCACATGCAAATAGGCTAAAAGGTCGGATGTGTGAACATCAATTCGAAAATATTAAGTTATACGACACACAAATAGGTTGCTGGACAAATATGAAATCAGACCTGGGATCGATTGTAATTGTACAATTTGTAACGCACTACAATTCACAAAGTAATTTTAATTGCAATCTCAGCTAACAATGCTGTTGTAATTATAACAGATCCCAGGTCTGGATTAAATACCTGATGCTTCTCTTCCAGAAACCATATCGTAGTCCGAGTGACATCGCTCAACATTTCTGTGGCCTCTGGTGCCTGAAATAAATTCAGTCGCAGGAACATCAAAATAGATGGAGGGTGATTATTGCACTGGTACGGAGACAGACAAGGACATGTGTCGAATACAACTGTAAGTCAAGTTATCAAAATAATCAACAGCTAAGCATTGAAGTGCGAGAATAACCGAGGACATTGAAGAAATTGTATTCTAGGTGTTTGCGGCATTAACATAGGATGAGTTAGAACCACATTAGTTTCTCTGTATCCACTTGTCTAAATAAGACAAAGATCCCCCTGGCCTTGAACAGACTGTTGGGGAAAGTGCTGTCAGTGAGCACCTATTAAGGCCGGCATGGCACACGAAGGAGTGGGTGGCCAGCACCACGCCTGACTGCCTTTGTCTCCCCTGTGGCAATGTTTGCACACAGCACCAGCTACTCATTTGAGGCTGAGTCAACGTAGGGGAGACCCAGGATCAGTTCAGATAATCACCATCACTGATGCTGGCCGTGACCGGACTTGAACATGTGCACAAAAACGTGCTCGCAAACGTCTGTGCATCCGTCCGTCCGTACCGGCATCCGAAGACGCCTTCTCCAGGGTGCGGTGACCACGCGAAGCCTCGTGGGCGTTGCGGCGCATCGGCACAACGGGCACCGGGTGCGGCAGCACATCGTACTCGTCGTCTGCGGCACGGCAACACATCGACTGCGCTCAGTGGTGGGGGAAGCTGTGTATTTATGTATTTATTGCTACGCACAGCACGGTTTTGTGTTGCCCGCGGCTTCTGTAAGGTGGCTTCTATATAGGAAAATGTTAGTGCTGGTGGCTTTGCTGCACGTGGCCTGTAACCTGGCTGGCCAAAGACACATTCGCAAACTCCCTACCAGTGGGCGTTGAGGTCTCCATATCATGGCTTGCCAGGATACTGCATTTCAGAAAGTGGATCAATTTCCATCTGTTTTATATCTAGACGAGGATTGCGTGCTACCCCGCGCCACCCCTCCCCGCATGCGTGGATCCTCAGGGTACTCTGGTTTATTCCCACAAGTAGAATACATTCATTCATGGCGATTGCAAAATATCTCAAAATAGAACCGCAGAGCTTGGGCAATTGTTGACGGCGATTCTGGCTACCTCTCCACTTCTCTGAGAGCGAACGAACCTGTGTGTGCATTACATTTCACATAATGATTAACATACAACACACAAACAACATTTCAGTGTTCACCAGCACTATGCCTAGTTCAAAATACCTTCCTGCATACACACATTGTGGCAGTGGGTCAAATAATTGCAAAACCCACCCGATCCCTGGTTTGTGGAGAGCCGGGAGTCGAGCTCCAGCTGAGGGGAATCCACGGGAGCCTTGATTGGCACAGAATGGGTTGGGAAATCGTACTCATCTTCTGCAAAACGCACACACACGCACACACAGACATGAGCACGCACACAGACAACACTTAGCAAAGCACGGGTGGAGTAATGCAGCAGCGGTCAGGGCACTGCGCTACCATCGTGGCAATCCACGTTTGATTCCCAGTCATGGCCGAATTTCCCAAAGCCTTTAATACAAACTCTACTGCCCCTTTAAGGAGCTTGAACACGGAGAAAATTACATCACTGACATAGCTAAAGAGAAACACTTTCAACTAAAAATATTGTAAAGTTGGAGAACTGGTAACAAATTACCAAAGTGGTGAATTGAAAGAAACGCTCGAGGTAAAATCAAGATTGCTCGTCTCACCTTCAATGTTGAGCTCCGGTTGCATGTTTAAGGCCATTAGCTCTGCTTGTATGTTGTATGCAGTATCGTACGTCTGATTTTCCAAGTCTGTGTCCAGGCTGGAACATAAACGTAAGTTGTATGAAGACGTGAACCTAGTACGGAGTTGTCCTGCTGTTTCACTGCCACACCGTGTAAAGAGAGGCCAAGCCTTCAGGCATAAAACCGCGAAAGTAGAATGCAAACAGCGCATCTTTTCCGCGTGCAAATCTACGCCCCTTTCCCACTGCACAACCAAGCCGGGTCCGAGCCGTGCCGAGGCATTCTGGCACGGTTCAGGGAGGTGCCACGCTGTTTTTCCCACCGTAGAACCGAAACATTTAAATTCCGTGCAATGCAGGTCAGTCACTCGGTAACAACTCTAAACACGGCGTCACACCACGTCATCTACACGCGTCTTTCGCTCGTTCATTGGCGTGTGATGGGAAAAGCGCTCAAGGTCATGCGCAAACACGTCGAACAATCATCAGATATGAACATCTGACGAGAAATCTTTAGCTCAAGTGTCCACTTCTCAACAGATGGATACATTGTAAAAATTATGTTCTCAGTTTATACATCATGTATGCATGTATGCAGACTCTTTCGCACCATACGTAGGCAACTGTGCTAAAATAGGTGCGGGAAAAATCATGGCAATAAATACACTTATAAGATCTAAAGTGAGAAGAGAATGTTTATCCGTTGTGGCGTGGTCGGTGGTCCTGATGAAGACAACAGTGTGGACACCGGGAGCAAGGAGCCACCTGTTGTTGTTATGCTGTTGTGGACTGGCTGGAGCGTTGTTGGTCATGTATCCAGAAGCGGACATCTCTGTGTGAGCGTGCATCTGCCCATCGTCCTCGTCGTCAGAGCTGTCCAGTCTCTCCAGTGGAAAAGGTTTCTTAGCGGACGTAATGTGGCTTCAGTGGGGGGGGGAGAGAGAGAGAGAGAATACACAAGCATTCACGTTTAATATTTGGCTGCGATAAATTTGACTGCTATAAATTACCACGCGATTAGCCACTTCGTTGAGCTATCATTTGTGGCCAGGTCGCTTCTGAAAAAGAGTTAAATTGCTGAGTGGGCCTTGCTTGGTAAAATTAAAATAGTTTTAGTTTAGAATGTTAAGGCAGATATATATGCAGCGGCACATGTTACAAAATAAACATGAACCCCAACCCCGATGTGTTTTCAGGTTGTACCGTGCGTTGTTCAACATGACATCTGACGTTTCACTGGAAGTTAAGCTTTTTCAGGCGAGGAACGTTGGGACGTTGAGCCGAACAACCACACACGGGGCAACCTGGAAACACTGGGAACTGTACAGCACAACCCACAAGAACCGACGCAGTGGCCATGCCGACAGTGTCACTGCCTTAGAAACCAAAACATCGATTTAGCGCCACCCTATGGCATTTGCAGAAGCGCCACTTACGAACACACAGGACAACCACGCGCAAGCTCGCATTTGTTTACTCCAGCTATGGAGGAGGCTCGTGAAGGATGCTACTGGGCATTTGGAGGCAGTCGCGGAGCGCCAGGCTGCTAAAATACAGCAAGTTGGCACAGTAAGAAGGAACAGCCAGTCTACTCCGTGAACCCAGAGCACCTGGGTCCATTCTCTGATCTCTTGTCAGCGAGCCTTCGACACTTCAAGTGGCCTTAGAGTGTACCTGGTCTGGCACAAACATCATGGTGACGTCACTACCACTTAGTGGCGAATGGCGGCTATTGTTTTTTGTATGATGCAAACAACCTTCCATTAGTTCGACATACCACGGCCAGATTCACAAACGCGTTGCACCATCGAGCTAAATACCACTCGCACTGATGCTTCATTGAACATTTGATAAGCATTAAAAAAAAAACTCGAAGTGTCGTCAACTTCTTGTCAAGGCCTCATTGAGTACCGAGAAACTCATGCAATCGCTTGGCAAGTTACACAGGGATAATGGAGAGTATTTTTTGGTACATCTGTTGCGTGTATAGATAAGCATCTTAAGAGCCAGCGCGGTCATTAGGAGGGCAGACAAGAGCTTGCTTCACCGCACGACGGTGCAGCGGCAAGCATTATGCGGCACTTTTTCATGAGGTCGCGTGAAATCAATAGACGGGAAGTGAAATGCTTACTTAGGAGATGAGGGAGGTCTCCAGGAATTGTGTCGCGAGTCTCCATCGGTCATTCCATTAGGCGTTCCATTCTGAAGAGCACAAACACTGTTATTATTACTATTACGAGAGGTTAATGTCCAACAAATTAAAATCACCGCCAGTCCTCATTTTACTTTGAAGCCAAGTAGCAAAATCCCGTATTTAAAAATAAGACTTTAAAATATATTAAGTTGCTGAAGTGACAAGACTGTCATCAACATCATTATATATCCACATCCCTCTTGGTCAAAATGCAACATTGCACACGTAAGCTCCCTCCCATGAGAGTTCATCGCTCCATCTCAACAGTGGACGCATCTGGGCACCACTGTCGTTAGCTTTGACCTCCCATCACTTTTCTAGCAACAGGTCCTCCCCCCAAGCCTACTTGGCATGTTCTTAAGTCAATACAGCAGTTCTGAAGTTGACTTCACCCCCGAGTGAAGCCCAATGAGCTATACACAGCTCTTTTTCAATGGCGACGTCTCTCAACGTGCCCACACGCTCGGATTCACTTGTTCGTTCCTCTTCTGTCTCTTAGGATAATTCCCAGCTTGCACCTCTCCATGCTTTTAAGCATTTTCCAGCGCTCGGTCCATTTTCTTTGTCAATGCTCATGGTTGTGATCCAAATATCATGGCGGAATGTTTTTTATTTATATAATTATTATTTTAATCAAGCAAGAGCCCGGTACAGCAGAGCACAAACGACAGTGGGGGAGAGGTAGATATGATCCGTGGACGACGAGCCTAAGGCCGGGTGTCCACAGGGCAGAAGAAAGGGATGGTGGTTGGGCTCTGCCGACTTCTCACGTAGGGGGGGGCTTGATAGCAGTAATTTTAGTTTTTCCCCCACAAACATTTTAACAGCAATTTTACCTTCGCTTTCTCAGTAGGTTTGCGGGACCCCGATCTGTCAGAGCCATGCTGGTGAGCGGTGGGCAGCCGCAGCAGCTCCAGGCCATGCCTCGCCTCGCCGCTCGCCAGCACGTGCTGGTTGTTCATGGCGGCGGCGTGCTCCGACAGGCCGGGGACCGGCACCGGCCGCGTCTGTCGTGAATCGCCCTGCATCATGGTCACTCCGCCACCACCTTCGGACGACAACGCGTGCCTCTGGAAGTCCCAACCGGCGTGACTGTCGACATGGCTCACGGTCGCGGCGTTCTGACCGGCCGCGTCCATCGGGCTGGCCGCGAGGGCCAGGTGCCTGTGGTTCGATTCGGAAGCGCTTGGGCCGGACGCGGCTCTGGAGAAGTCGCGGCCGGAGTCCGCCCCGAACTGCAAGGGAAGCATCCTGGAGAGGTCGCGGCCCATCCAACCGTCGGCCGGCGCTCCCGAATCGATTGCGGTGCCCGGCACGGGCAGCGGGCGGGTGGGCGGCATCATGAAGTGGTCGGCTTGGCGGGGCAGGTTGATGGGCAGCATGGGGTAGTCTCGCGGCGGGGGGCTCTCGGGGGTGACGGGCAGCGGCTTGCGCGACGACGAGCCGTGCGGTCTCTCTGGGGGCGGTGGCGGCAGGTCCCGGTGAGATCCCATCTCGCGCAGGTGAGGGGGAGGAGGCAGTGGCTTCTCGTGTTTCCTGCTCATCTGCGGCGAGAAAGAAAGGAGTCGTTAATTTTGATGTGCGGTTATAGAATCATCATTGCAGTTGATATGGCCACATTGCCTCAAATACGCACACCCCCCCCCCCCCCCACCTTCTCGTCAATACCATGGAAGCTCAAGCCGGATGAGCCTAGCGCTTGGGTGAATGCCCACCATAGTGCGTGACAGAAGGGTGCAGTTGGCACTGTAGGCAGGAGGGCAGTGCAGAAAAAAAACCTACTGCTGTTCTCCACTCTGCCCCACGCTTCTTTTGAGCCCTTGAATAGCAACAAAATAAAACGTGTGTGTCGCAAGGTTGTTCTCCGGGTGTTCGGAGCTCCGCTGTATGGCACTCCGGCAACAGATACCTTACCTTCGGAGAGGAGTTGGGGCTGAGGTTTGGCGACGAGGGCGACACCATCTTCTGGACCAGGTCGAGGCGGGGCGGCACTGGGGGGAGGGGGGCCGCCGCATGGTGCAACCCCATCATTGGGTCCGGGGGCAGCTTCCTGCGCTGCCCCATCTTGGGCGATGAGGGCGGAGATGACACGGGCGAGTCGGGGTGCTCCACCTGCGCACAGCCGAAGTGGGGGGGGGGGGGGGGACGGACGGGTCAAGCGTAGGCACGCACGCCAAGACGCGAGCGCTCACCCTCTAAAGACGACCCCTGGGGATCAGCCTTTAGAGGGCACCATAACGAGAGAAACCTCTGAGGTTCAGTCTTTAGGGGGCACCGTACGTAGCGCGATTGGCTACGTAAGGGTGCGAGAGAAGTTCAATATACATACATTCATACTGAAAAAGCCTCCAAAGCGAGCCCCCTTCTTCACCCCAAGTCTCGACATATAAGGGTCGATCGGGTGCATTCAGGTTAACGTGGCCGTACGCGCGAATAGTGAATTGGCGGCATGCAGCAGCGCCATCACCTTCTTGACGGAGGCCAAGCGATTGATGAAGACTGGCGGTTCCTCCAGCCTCTCGTCGTCATCCTCCAGTTCAAAGGTCGGGGAGAGGATGTCCATGTCTGACCGCCGGCACTCATCTCGGAAGTCGAACTGATCAACGGCCAAGCGGCGGCCGAACTCCCGCGGGTCAAAGGGGTCAACCACAATGGGCTCTGTGCCCTTGATCTCACACCGGCAGAAAGGGCAGCCCTGCCCATCCGACTCCTATGGAAAAAAGCGACATGCAAATACACATTGCTTTGGTGACAACAGAAGGGGGGGGGGGGCAGTTAAACCAAGCTTTCGGTTTAAATTGACGAGAACAATACCACAGAATATTATTATGACACATCCGGCCAGGTGGCTCAGCGGAAGAGAGGCGGCTTGCCATCGGAAGGTTGCGAGTTTAAATCGTTGTTGGGGGTTGACTCGGCCCCTTATTCCTCTGGGGACGATAAAAAGAGTACCACTTTGTGAAGTCAACAGTGGTTGTTCATCGCACCAGCTGTAGGAATGTGAAAAAATTTCTGCCACTGGTTCAGTCCTGTAAACAGAAATAGAGCACCACCTCAATGCTCATTTTAGCAGGAAATCACTTTGCCTGTTATGACATCATTGTAATCAACTCCCAATCAATCTGCTGCCGGCCAATTGGATCATATCCCAAAAAAGTGGAAACCATCGGAGTGGCGCTAAAAGATACCCAGATGTGACTACAGCCAGCAAAATGGGGTCCCCGAGACCTAAACTCTGCATTGTCAAGTGTTTAACCTAAGATTATTCTATTATTCCCCGTACACAATAATACAGATGGAGACAGATGGAGAGAAACAGAGATGGAGCTTAGAGAGAGATGGAGACATGGAAGAGAGATACAAATGCAGAGGGGCACTTTAGAATGTTTGGGTTTTTTTCACATTGTCTCTTCTAAAATCTGTTTAGCTATTCAAGATCACAAAGACATCCCCTCTTAGCTTAAACTATCAACTAAACTATTAAAGTATTTTTTTTTCCAACAGGTAAGGTGCGCTGAGCTGTATAGCTCTTTTTTCAGAGGTGACCTGGCCACAAATGAAAGCTCAACGAAGTGTTTTATCATAATGCGCAAATTTATAGCAGCCAAACATTTTAAACGCAATCAAACCCACGACCTCCTGTATACCAAAAGAAGTAGTCAACAGCTCGCTACCGTGGAGCTCCCTTTTAAGGATTGCCTGAACACACGTGGAATCCACTTTTTCCTTCTATTCAGTTTGATGCTGGATATAGAATCACCTCCACACAGCATCTCGCGAGTGGTAAAATCTGCACACGTTGCGAGGATTCTGCACAGCACGAGCATCATGGCAGTCAACTCTCTCCACTCCCAGGGTGAACCTTAACAACTCGATGTGGACGTCAAAGGGGTTTTTGTTGTTGTTGTGATGTTCCAAAACATTGTTAGGTAAACAAATAATTTTCTTACATCAAATCAAGTAATGGACACATTTGATATTTACGTCAGTCTCGTAGCGAGAGGCTATCCTCACGAAGGTGTGATGTTACACAGACCATTTACAGCAGGGGGGGAATGTTGCTGCTGTTTGCGATCCCAATTCGGTAACTTGCCAATAATATTTTCAGCACTGGGATGTTTGGCCAATACCGGTTACATTTTGTATATTTTTTTAAGCATCGGGAGAAAACCAGTGAAGCAGGAGGTAGCCCATGCAGAACAAGGGGGCGGCGGGAGGGGGGGGGGGAAGTGGGGAGAGAATATATTCCCGACACAGAAAGACACCCGAGGTCAGGAATCGAACCCAGGAACATTTTACATTTTGCTGGGGTAGCAAGGTGTAACAACGGACCTGCCACGCGGTGAGGCAGGACGTGCACATGAGGTGGCCACACGGCTCTATCTTCACATCCTTGTCGTTCTCTGCACAGATTTTGCAGAGCTGAAATGTGGAGCCCATCTCACAGTACAACTCGTACTGCTCCTGCACAACCCAGATGCGCGCGCGTACACGCACCACGGTTAGCAAACAGTGACATCTGGAATGATATGTCGGGGCTATGCTGAAGAGTTGGCCACATTTCCGATGTGTAACATAGTAAATCGCTTGCCATGTTTGATTGCGAGTAGAACAACTGGTGCGTTAAACGCTCGTACACGTGAGAAAGTGCAATTTGTTTGGCCGTGTCGGGTGGTGGAGGGTCTTGCAACATAGATTTAGCCAGATCGTTACGTAGCTTAACCAAAACAACCATTGTGAATCTAATTATTGGATATGAAAACCTACGAGTTAGGTTTAATTCTATGTGAGTGAGTGGTTGTGATATGCAGTGTCAGTCTGGTCAAAGAGTCCTCATCACGGGTGCAGGATTCAATAGGTGAAGTTCACAGGCGCACGGTAACCACCACATGTATGTACAACTACTTTCGCTCATGCCTTATTACGCTTCGAGAAGCGATAGAAGTGTGATAAGGGATGTGGGAGCCGTGGTCCCTTTCCGCACCTGGGTGACTTTGATATGGTCTTGCGGTAGAGGCTCGCACAAGCCGCTCAGGTCTGGGTTTTGGTTACGGCCATCCGGAAACAAGTAACTGTAGTACAGGGACACAGAAGTAGAAGCAGCGCACACACAAGCAATGTTCAACGGCACCAGTGTGCAGCTAAATCGGCAATTGGCTTCATACCAAGCAAAGATGTACTTATAAACACCAATCCACAAAGCCGAATAAACAACCGTAGAAATATCAACGAGTCAATTAACTTTCTCTCCGCCTTGTCGAGTGGAAAAAGTAATCGATGCACAGTAACAACTCCATTATTTACAAGCCTTTTTCCATCCTGTACATGCGTTCCACTCATCGTAACCTCACTTTCCTGCCACGCTCTTTTACAAATTTCCACGTTGCTTACCCTTACCTATCATGCCAAGTAATGTCGAGTACCCGTCACATTCAACAATATAAAAAAAATTACCATGTATATTACATAAATATACGCGTGGCAGAGTCAAGCTTCAATTAGCCATGCACACACAAGTGTGCGTGTACGCGGGTGCAACTGCGAGCGGGCTTTGGAAATGGGTTGTCCAGTCTGTTCTCCTATAACGCCGCGTGTTGGATATAACGCGATGAATGTACTGGGAACACATTTTTTATAACGCGGATGTGAATTGGCGATAAAGCGATCGAGTAGGAATACGCAGTTGTATGGCTGCCACGGCGTAGCATCACACAAGGTTGGATGCTGCTGGATGATTCTAGATGCTACCCGCGTGCCTCAGTCTTTGTTCAGCCTGCATATTACAACGCCATTTTTCCTATAACGTGGTGTTCTTCAGGAACGGGAGATCTCGAACCCCTCTAGATGGTATTTGGCCTTTTCTTCCACACCTGGCCAACAGTTTTGCAAGAGGTCGGAGTACCCACACTTGATCCCATCACACGCGATCTGATGGACTCTGGTATAACCATTTATACTGCTGGGTGGACAGAGGTGTGGGGTAACACGAAAACGTCATTATTATGAATATTTACAAAGGAAGGCCTCGCTGAGATTCAACTCTTTTTCAGGAGGGTCCTGCCAAGCAATCAGAGTAGGGGGCGATGTTGCTGCTGTGTGTGATCCCAGCTGAGCAAAGTTGCAGAACGAACCGCAACCCCTGGACAGTTAAACAAGGGTTGCAAAGGCAATATAATAAAAAGCAAAAAGTAAGGCAACACGATTTTCTCCGGATACCCAAGTGTATTGTGTCGTGGCTTTACGAACTACCTGGAGCTTTATCCACCATCACAAGTCTCAAGGTCAAAGTTGCATTTTGAATACATTTTTAATGCCCGGGTGCGGGGATACGCGCGGCACTGGTACGTGTTTACTTACAAGCCTTCGCGGTAACCGTCAATGAGGGCTTGGAAAAGCGGTTTATTGTGTGGAATTGTTTGGAGAATGTTTCCATCAGCTGTCACGTAGCCGATTGCCCACTGGCCAAGCCGTGTACAGCTCAACCGGAATATGTAACTGAAAAACAAGAAAAACAAGAAAAATGAATAAACAAAGCCATTTTGTTACGATCTCAAAAGTGGCTGCTAAAATGCAACGTAAAACTCTCTGCTTAGCCATCGTTACATATACAACGCACGCGCTTACTGAACAGTAATCGTTTTTATGTAAAAATACAATATTTATTTTACTATTTTTAGCTTACCAGGTAATGCCGACTGAGCTCTCCAGCTGCTTTCAGAAGTGATCTGGCCACAAATGTTCGCTCAACGAGGTGGCTCATCAAAAACGTGGAAATTTATAGCAGCAAAATATTCTAAACGCATTCTAAATGTGGAGGGAAAAACCGGAGAACCAAGAAAAATCCATGCGACCACAGGGAGAGACACATGCAAACTCCAAATATAAAGCAGGCGTCAGGGTTGGGGTTGAACCCATGACCTCCTGTATATCAGGTAAGGTAGTTAACATCTCACCACCGTGGCGCCCTAGAGAACACACGCAGGTTAATGACATTGCCAAAACTGTTAAGAAATGCGAGTGGCTTGGGCAGTACACGCCGCAAGGAGAGGCGATGGACGACGCATCGGCAGCCAAGGAATTGAATGGGCTCGGTGCCCAGGAGGAATACTGGACATCTGTGAAAAAGTGCTTCATAGCACAGCAGATTCCTCCAGTATAAATATACATTTTGATTCCGCGTTGCTGAGATGAGACCAGTTTGAGATAATTCAAACAATATTTACCCTGCATATTATAGGAAACAAGTGTGATTTTTCTCCTGATGACGACTGCTTGTGTTGCGATTGAAACGTCGCAGTTTTTTGTAAAAAAATGTTCTGCGTGACTTTACCAAAAAACCAAAAGAATAATAATTGTGAATATCTAATATCCACTTCATAATAGAAAAGAATTGTTTCCCGAAGGAACGTAAATGATGAAAAATGGTATATATAAAAAAAAACTAGCGGGAAGTACCCGGCGTTGCCTGGGCGAAAGATATATTTCAAAACTTCTCTTAAAAACATTACACATATACATACACAGATACCAAGCAATTGTGAAAGGCCGGTGGGCCGTTTGTCCATTTATTCACCAACAAAATTATAAGAGGCTTGCAGAAGTCCAAAAAGTTATAGAAAGTGGGGGGTAAATAGTTGATCTAAAAGGTTTGCAAAAATTGTCGACCCCACCCCCTCGGAAAATATATTTACCCCCGTGTAGATATATATATACCTACACACAACAGAGGAAGTATCTTGATACAGTAAATTTAGCTGTAATGGTCCCACCTGAAGACGGAAACTTGTGTTGCCTAGTATATACCGACTGTATAGTAGTAACTACTAACTCTATAGTAGTAGCTGCTGACTCTATAGTAGTATCCACTGACTATAGTAGTAACTACCAACTCTATAACAGTATCTACTGACTCTCTAGTAGTATCTACTAACTCTAGAGTAGGAGTTAGGCCTCGACAAGGTAAGGTAATTTACCTTTGTTACCGGGTAAAGGTAAAGAGTAAAGGTGTCGACATGCCAAGGGGTAAGGTAAAGGGTACAGGGTAAAGGTAGCTCGGAAGAATTACCCGGTAGGGTAAAGGTAGCGCGAAGTATTACCCGGTAAATACGGTACCTTGTTTACCGCTAAAAGCTCTGTGGCGCAGTCCGTGGCCTCCATTTAACAAGTAATATTTAAAATAACTTCATTAAAAACACGCTTTTATTAAATGTACGAGTAATGACAGAACTCCACGACTCTAGGAAGTGGGCCCCGAGGCTTGCCACAACGTAAGGGACCGTGGCCAATTACAGCCAACGTCAGTTGAGCGTGGACAATTAGACCCAAGCCGAAACATAACATATAAAAAAAATGTTTAAAAATATTTTATTTTAATTTTTATGATAGAATATAGTATTGTAATCAGTATGACATAAGTATACCAAGTTTGCAGTCAATACCACATTGGGAAGTGGGTTAAAATTGAGTTACAATATTTGAGGATACAACAACGACAAGCGTGTAAAATTGGAATCATTGAGAGTATTCTATATGAATAAAGCGCTCTACCGAGCATTTACCGTTATAAACCTTGTTCATGTGTAATAGTTCCCTAGTAATTACCCTGCAATTGGGTAATTTGTATGGGGTAAGGGTAAAAGGTAGGGTAAAGGTAGGCTCGTTGCTTTTTTACCTTTTACCTTACCTGCTAAAGGGTAAAAGGTAGGGTAGAGTGATTGTATTGTGGTAAGGTAAAAGGTAGGGTAAAGGTAGGCTCGTTGTTTTTACCTTTTAACTTTTACCTTACCTTGTCCCACCTGATGACGGACGCTTGTGTTGCGCCCGAAACGTCGTGATTACATTTATTTTATTTTTTATACCTACGTGACTTTACCTAAAGAACCAGAGTATGGATCCCTGCAGTCACGAAAACTTCAAATCTAGATTGACTCGATAGCAGTATATAGACTCTAGAGCACAAAGTACTCGCCTGACAAAGTGGCATGGTGAGGCCTAGTCCTATGCAGAGCCCCCAGCCTCACCTAGATTGCCCAGCCGGCCGAGGTCGCAAGCTGGGGGCTGGGCCGCAACCCCGCCCCCCACCATTCCCCCTCCCGCACTACAATAATAGTATCTAAGCGCTATGACAGACACTTTCATGAATTTACCTCAGCGTTCTGTTTTTTTTTTCCATTTTGAACGCGAATGAGAAATCCCTTCCCCCCTCCACCGATGACGCATGTGCGTTGCTAAGGGCAACCCCCGGGCAGCTTTAGCAGCGCGAGGAAATAATGAAAAATGCCATTTGGTTGTTATCTCCGACTGAGTTGCATTGCCCTGTTAGGTGCCTCTGCATTAACGGGCTGGCGTCTCACTAACATGGCCACCTCTGCTCCCTTAGCCTCGATGTATCGATGGTTCTGGCTGTGTGATGGGCTTTGTGTCTCACTGGCGCGACCACCGTTACGGTGGTTCTCTTGCGTAGCCGCGCTTGCCTCAAAGCACAGTTGGCAGCGCCGCAGCTCGTGTTACACATATACTTGACATTAACTTACTAATCCCCCTAATCTCCCTGCCTAATCTCTCCCATCAACAATAGTGTTAATCTCCCATTAACACTGCTGTTGTGCGCATATGCGGGGATGATACCCTTATGCGGCGACGGAAGCTCATTTCATGTTAATCTCTCTCCCCAATCTCTCCCATTAACACAACTGACGTGCTTTCGTTCGGGAATGGAATTCCTTTCCAGCTCAGACCCCGCTTGCTTGCCCATTGCCACATAAATAACCTCTTGTTGTAACAGCTCTCTCGCTGGTTCAGCAGTTCCACTGGATTATTTTTTCCGCCTGAGGACGACCACTTGTGTTGCGATCAAAACGTCGTGATATATTATTTTTTGTTTTATTTTATTTTTCTACCTATGTGACTTTCCTAAAAGAACCAAAGAGTCATTAAATAATAATAATAATCAAATACCACTAAGTTGTTTATTTAACTACTTTAAAGTTGACCGATGGGGAAAACAGAATAGCGCTGGCTCACCAGGGGGCTTACGGCGTGGTACCTGGCTACTTTTTTTACGTAAACCCGACAGTTTGAGAGCCAAATCCTTCGTAAGTGTGCATCCACACACACACAGAGACAGACAAAAAAATACGTTTATAGGTAAGATAACAGTAATTTACAGCTGTTGGAAAGTCCATTGCCGTATAAAGACCAACTCCATGCCGTTTTGGTCATGGGGTTGTTGTGCCGCACTGTGCTGGTCAGTGTTGACCATACAACCGGTTCCGCTGTCACTCGCCACTGACGTTATTCATGGCCAGAAACCACGCTCAGGTTGAAAAGTTCACATGGCGGTGTACTCTGAACCACTTGTGGAAATGTGATAACCGCAATGTTCTGCACACGGGGAGGAAAGCATTGCAATTTTCAAAGCAAACGTGACCTTGAGATCAATGGAAATGTTGGTCAGTGAACGAGAGCAGAAAACGAGATTTATTTTAATATCAATTTACGTAAATTTGCACCACTACCATTTAGAGTTTGTGTGCAATGGGGAATTAGTTCGGGAAGATTAATATAATTGCATGCCATTTATAGAGATGGACTCCGGATGATTCAAATTATTGTCCGAGCATAAATGATCTTTTTAATTGTGTGGATTTAAAACCATTATTTCCTGCAGAATATATTTTTGGGTTAGATTGCGTAAATGTGTTGTTAAACCCGCCACCACCCGACACAGCCAATTAGTAAGGTTTGTCACGTAAACAAAACATGCAAATTAGTTACTAGTACAGCACACCAGTGTGTTGGAAAGCAAATCCACAACATTTACTATCCGAGTACAACGTTTCGCCAGTAATAACAAATAGCTTCTTCAGGTGGAGAAATCCTCGTTCCTTAGAGGGGTAGATGTGATAACATCACTCGTGAGTCCTTCTCGTGCGAAGGGGGGGATAATTTAAAGCATTTAAATTACAATGGGTATCCATTGCCGGTTGGGTTATTCATTTGGTAATCAACGTACATTGTGCATGCACATTGTTCTTGTACCGCTTGTCGTTTGCATGCAATAAAATAGCAGTACCTGTTGTTGTTTGCGTACAGGTCCCCTTTGACGTATGGTGACCTGTATTAGGCATGCATTTAAACCATGTATTATTTGATAACTCTGGTCAACACACTTTTCTGGCATAAGGTATTCCAACGGTTTTAAGGTAATTTTGGGGTGCTGATTCCAAATCTTGCATCAGTTTTTGTCTATCACATCAGGTTTTTGAGATATCAAATATTGCATTTTCAATAAAAACTGCAGAAGAAAAATATTAAATAAATGTGGATATCTACATACAATGATATTATAAACACATTATCCTAGAAATACAGATCATATTTTAACACTAAAGCAGTCACTGACTCGCAACAACTTGCAATCATAAGTGACAGAGTTCATTTCGGGTAAAATCAATGAAAATTGGGTATGCCGATAGAATAAAAATGAGATGTGATAGAGCAAATCTGAGATCAGATTTGGAATCAGCACCCTGAAATTAGTCTAAAACAGCTGCAAAAGTCCAGGCCAGAATTTTTTTTTATTGACCAGTGTAATTTGCTGCCAAGCAGCAATAAGCCTGAAGCTATTCGAACAGTTAAAATTATTTTTCTATCTTAATTTCGATAAATTCTCTAATTAGCCTTGGCCAGTAGCAACTAGTTTTGCACAGAACTTCAACATGATCAAAATCAATTGAGTGTCCTTATTGACACGCGTGTTCTGCCACTGCCGACAGTTGTATTTGGGAGTATTGAATATTCCTTTGGGTGTTCTTTTAGTCTCGTGCTGATCATTCGTCCAGTCTGCCCAACATAGCATTTGGCAAAAATGCAATTAATCCAGTACACATCTTCTGTTGATAGCTTCGGTAAAACATCTTTAGTACAAGATGATATTACTAATAGGGTTTTTCCCCTGATGAAGATGATATTAGTTTCTGTATTTTATGTACTGTTCCAAATCTGACTCAGATGTTTTCTTTTTCCAAAAATCTGGCTAGTTTATCAGTTACTCCCGCAATGTACGGTATTTTAATAGTTTTAATTACTTGGTTCAGTTTAAACTCTGGTGTTATTTGATTTGGTGTTGGCATTCAGTGCCCTGTTGATTTGTGCATAATTGTAACCATTCAACTGCAGCGCTGCTTTAACATGTTGAATTTCACTACTCAGACTATCACCCGACACTTTCTTAGCCCGATGTATGAACATCTTGATGAGAGAGGATTTCTGTGCTGGGTGATGGCGTGACTCTGCATTCAGATAGGCGCCAGTGCTCGTTTTGTTTCGGTAAACGCTGTGCGTGATTTTACCATTTCGGCTGCGCCCGAGCAAAATATCCAGACATGGGAGAGTTCTCTCAATTTCCACTTTCATGGTGAACTGGATGGATGGGTTCTGAGAGTTGAGATGATTTAGAAATCCGTTAAGTATATCTTTGCCGTGTAGCCAGTCCACCAGTGTGTCATCCACATCTAAACCAATCAGAGGATTTTAGTGTGCTTGAAGCTCGTGCTATTGCTTCAAAATCTTCCACGTACAAATTTGCTATCACAGGAGACAAAGGAGAGCCCAATCGTGCTCCTTCCTTTTGTTTATAGAATCACCTTTCCACAAGAAATAGGTGTTCTTTAGACAGTGTTCAGCTAGTCGTGGTATAGCTTTGGCTAAACCTGTATTTGTTACCAGAGTAGAGTAATTTAATTGACTCATTGACTGGAACCCTCATGAACAGAGAGATCACATCAAAACCTATGAAAATATTATTAGGGTTAAGCTTTATATCTTAAATTATATTTACGAGATGTTCTGGAGTTTTTAATGAACGAAGAGGTCCTACCGAGGTAGGGCTGTATTAGTTTCGTTACGTATTGTACTAATTTATATGTGGTAGAGCCTATTGTACTACCTATGGATCTTATATGGACATCAGGTTTGTGAATTTTTGGTAGTCCATAAATGCTTGGTGGTTTTGACACCCTTGGTTTAATCAGGTATTGCTCTTCCTTGGAAATGTATGACTTGGCAATGATTGCCAGCGTCTTGTGTTCCAAGATGGGTCTCGTTTAATTTTAAAAGTGGGTACCTTCAAATCTTGATTTAAAGCTTTCGAGATTGCAGGAAATCACACTCTGTAAACCCACTGGCTATCAAAGATTTGTTCATGAACCCATCCAGATTTATAAACACAGACAACTTCAACTGAGAAGATGGGTACAATTTGAGCAATCATTGGAAAGACGTGATTAACCAGGTAAAGTCTTAACCTGCTGTGATGTTTCCATCCTTCCTGCCGATGTTAGCCGACTCTGAGCTGCATTACTAGGTTGGATGTCTTTGTATTGACAGGCTGGATGTCCTACTCACTCAGTGGACCGATGCAGTGGCATAGGCAAGTCATCGATGCATCGACATACAATACAATGGCCACTTCCACAGCCTCAGGGAGACCATCTCTAGCCCCGCCCTCTTACCCTGAGGCTGCACCCATCTCAGGCCTATATAAGACCTTGTTTCAGTAGCTTTCTCTCTCTCACCTGAAGACGATTGCTTGTATTGCCATCAAAGCGTCGTGATCTATTATTTTTCTATCTACGTGACTTACCAAAAGACCTTCAGTGTAAATCTTTGATTTTATTATCATAATCCTCATGGGGCATCACAACAGTTGATCGGCCCTTATCAGCAGCAATAATTTGAATATCTTTATTTGATCTCAGTTCTCTTAAGGCTGAAACTAATATTTACTTTTGCCAATTTACTGTTCTCAATAATACTGGCAACCTCATACCTAGTCATCTCAGCTTGATTGTTTCAATGCACAAAGTGAGCCTGAAGATAAGGACTGTTTGTTGGATATCCACAAGAGTTTGTGATTAGCTACAGGTCGAGATGCCACATCTTTACAGCATGCATGTTCCCCCCGTGGTCGCGTGGTTTTTTTCCCCCTTCACTTTAATAATCAACGTTTGTTTAGAGTTTTTGGCTGCCATACATTTCCACAAGCCACTTCATTGAGCTATCATTGGTGGCCAGGTCGCTTCTGAAAAAGAGCTATACAAATCAGTGGGCCTTACCTGGTAAAAGATAAATACTTTAATAGTTTGTAAAGGTTTTTTGGGAGTGCTGTCACAATTAGATGTGTGGAAAACCGAGCATAAATTTGTATCGCTTACTTGCAGGCGGTTATCGGCAACACGAACAAATCGAAATCAACAATCCACAGTCTGTTGCTGGAGAGTGCCCTGTCTTCATACACAATGGCTAGAGCTTTGGAAAGCATACACCATGTTGAGGACACGGTTTACCAGACTGCAGGTCACTATAACACTCACCCACCTCAACCATTCACCTATTCATCCAATCACCACACTCACTGCAGGTCACTATAACACTCACCCACCTCAACCATTCACCTATTCATCCAATCACCACACTCACTGCAGGTCACTATAACACTCACCCACCTCAACCATTCACCTATTCATCCAATCACCACACTCACTGCCGGTCACTATAACACTCACCCACCTCAACCATTCACCTATTCATCCAATCACCACACTCACTGCAGGTCACTATAACACTCACCCACCTCAACCATTCACCTATTCATCCAATCACCACACTCACTGCCGGTCACTATAACACTCACCCACCTCAACCATTCACCTATTCATCCAATCACCACACTCACTGCCGGTCACTATAACACTCACCCACCTCAACCATTCACCTATTCATCCAATCACCACACTCACTGCCGGTCACAACGCTTCTCTTTTTGCGTCTTCCCTCGCATGGCTCCACTTTGGTATCCCCTCCTCCCTCCTGTCATCACCGCTCCCCCCCCACGATCTGATAATAACCTTTCTCAATTCAAGAACCGTGTCCACTCCTATTAGAGTTACCACTCTGGCAGTGCTGTTTGTTGCTGGCCACTTCTATATTTCGAGACTTCATGTCTGTGCTCAACAGTTGAGTCAGTGTAAAACATTTATATATGTAGATAAAAGGAGAGACATGCTACACAGACCTGCCGGGCTTGCTGATGTACTTCTGCAGCCGTGCTTTGACTTCGTCGTATGTGAGGAAGGCCATGTAGCCAGGGTGCGTGACGGCCAATACGTTCCAGTTGCGCAACAGCGAGGACCAGGGCTGAGAGAAACCAAAAAGGCACACACAGAGTCGCTTCCGTAAACAAACCCCGCTCGACAGAAGCAGCACGCACACAGGGCCCGCAGACAAACCAGGGCAGCTTGACAATTAGGCATGAAGCAAGCTGTCGATGAACTTAACATGTCAGTTTTTGAAAGCAATATTATTTCAATCTTGATTTGAATATTATTACAGTTCATAATTATGAGCGAATTAGGCCATGTCATGGTCCGGCCACATCATTGTAAAGTAACCCTCCACCACCCGACATTCTGACTTGCTGGTCTCATGACTGGAGGCGGTTTCACGCAGTTTCAAGCAAAACATTGTTTGGCTGTGAGAATTGATCAAATCACCGGTGAGCTGAAACAAGAATAATAATAGGTACATTAATACTTTTTGGTTCTTTCGGTAAAGTCACGTAGAAAGAAAATAAGTTAAATAATAAAATACGACGTTTCGGTTGCAACACAAGCAATCGTCATCAGGTAGAAAACAAACCTAATAAACTTAGAAATATAATGCAATACAATACCGAGAGTCGGCTAACACAACAGTCAACAACCCTACCCTGGTTGATTACGTTCTTCCAAAGATTGCTAAATTTGAGAGAGAGCAAAACAGACACGGAGACACACGACGTTTTGCCAGTAATTACAACTAGCATCATCAGGCAGACAGACAAATTTGTGGATAAATCCTTCCTGTTTCGTTCATTAAATAGAGGGGGTAGATGCCATGACATCACTCGTGAGTCCTTCACGTGCAAAGAAAAAAAAAACAAGTTACTACTGGCCAAGACTAATGAGAATATCGAAATTGAGAGAAATAAGAATAATATCAAACGTTCAAATAGCTACAGACTTAATGCTGCTTGGAAGAGAATCATAAAATAATACATTATTTAAACGCATGCCTATACAGGTCACCATACGTCAGTGGGGATTAATATTTATGCGATCTAACCCAAAAGCCTGCGTCAAGGAGACACGTCCCTGTTGGCGACTTGTTGCTCAGATGTGGACAAAGCAGTTTGGCCGGCGACAATTACGCTGTGCGCTTTTGAGAGTAACTTTTTTCGTGCGAAAGATCTCTCAGGCGTGTGGGCGCACCCGTGAGATTATATTAAACTATTTTAAGTTTACTCGGCAAGGGCCCATGAGTTACACAGCTATTTTACAGAAGTGACCTGGCCAGAAATGTTTGCCTAATCAAGTGACTTATCATGTGAAAATGTATAGCAGCCAAATACTTGAAACAGATGTATCCAAATAAAGAGAGAAACACCGGAGGACCCGGCGAAAAATCCAAAAACACAGCAGGCATCAGGGTTTGGATCGAACCCACGACCTCCTGTATACCGGGTGAGGTAGTTAACATCTCCTAGCCACCGTGATGATGAGAGAGAGAGACACGCAGACTTCAAAATACAGCAGGCGTTAGGGTTGGGATCGAACCCACGACCTCCTGTATACCAGGTGAGGTAGTTAACATCTCCTCGCCACCGCGGCAACCAATAATAATAATAAGTCATACAACAGTTTACATCGTAAAATACAGTGCAAACCTAAAAGCATTTTTTACTTTACAAACCTTGTATTTTGGACAAGCTTTACATTGTGTAGCGATAACACGTGTGGTTTAATATTATTAGAGAAGAGTGCATGGGCGGTGGGGAATGCCAGGGGAGGAAGAATACAGCTGGAGGATGTGACATTGGGGTTTTATTAACATTGGATGAGTCTCTCACCAGCGTCTCCCACACCCCCATATTTCATAACATTACAGAACAACAACTCGCACATCCATGCCAATTCCATCCCCCCCCCCCCAATGAATTACAAGTCAGAGACCACCAAGTAAAAAAGAATAACAATGTTTTAAGTCACAAGAACTTGAACAACAACATGTGCCTCTAAAATCATGACCTTCATCAGCCATTGTTTATCCACTGCTGGACAATTAGCTACTGTCTAGCTTAAGAATATATACATTTAGCGGTGGATAGATAATGGCTGATAATATAATGATTACGACACAACTCTGGTCCATGAAGCATTGGTGATCAGTCGGAGTGTCGATGACCACCGTATGAACAGCAATGTTTAGCAATTGTGGTATTATCTCTGTCCCTGTCATTATGGACATTATCAACCGAAAGCATCCATTAGGTACAAAGACTGTGCAATGCCCCTTTTGCAATACAAACCTCAAAATAGGGCTATCAAACCGAATAACCACTGCACATGCCATTCACCTCAGTGAAGTGGAATGTCAATTACGAGTTAATAAAAGGGGAAGCTGCAGTCCCCCCCACTGTGCAAGCCAACGTCAATAGCCTTCCCACCCAGCCTCATTGCTCGTGCAGACACACGGCCAATTTGGAGGGCATTTGAAAAATGGTACAAAAGGTGTCAGATTATCTCTGCCCACAAGAAAGGTGCAATGCATTGTGGATAATTTTCCTATCATTATTTCTTAAGGAAGTTTTGCGTCCACATCTGTGGATGAAAGAGAGGGGAAGTCACTAAGTTTAGCACCATCTGAGCCATTCAACGCATAAGAACAAGTAGTAGCTATTGGCCAACTACAGACATTCTCTATCCAGAGCAATAAGGTTACTGATGATATAATAAATCACACGTGCAAGTCCAGAAAGAAATATGGTAATATACCCTAATTTTTCTTCCAAGTGTCGAAGGTTCATACGGTTAATAAAATGAAGCAGCCACTCACAACCGAGAGCCAGGACTGAGGGGTTGACCATTTAAAGCAATTAGTAGTCGACTAGGATTGTAACCAACAACTTTTGCTGCGGTTGATTACTTTGCCTCTCCCACCACGCTGCCTCCCCAAGGCAGGCAACGCTAGGCTTAATGCACATGATGATGATGATCATATCACCATGCCCCGCTAAACCCCTTTCTCTTCTGGCATCACGTATGTATCTGATTAGTGAAGTAACAGGACCGATAATTGGAAATCTGGTTACTGATTATAATCAATTACTGATTATAATCATTAACCAGATATACAGGGAGCACAGCTCTACACTAGGAACACTAAAGAATCGCATCTCCGATTAACACTTGCCCACGTACGATGCGAAAGAAGTCCAACAGTCTGTTCTCCTATAACGCAGTAGTAGTTGAGTTCCTGAAGAACGCCGCGTTTTGGAAAAATCGAGTTATAATAAATAATATACGGTAAAACACAGTCCGCGATAACATGTGAGATGCGTATACAGGCCGAATAAAGACTGAGGCACGTAGATAGCATCTAGAAGCATCCAGCAGCATCCCGCCTTGTGCGATGCTACGCCGAGGCAGCTGTACAACCGCTTATTCCTACTTACGCGAGGTAGTTCTGTTCACTCAATCGCGTTATAGTTCTGTTCACTCAATCGCGTTATAGCCAATTCACATCTGTCACAAAAATGTGTTCCCTAATACATTCATCGCGTTGTATGCAATTCGCGTCGTAAAAATACGCGTTATAGGAGAACAGACTGTACATACATACATACATGCATGTGTTCTAATGACACATTTCACACAGAGGAGAGCATACAGACGCAGTGGAAAGCAGCGAGCATGCAAGAGCTACAGTGAGGGAAAAAAGTATTTGATCCCCTGCTGATTTTGTACGTTTGCCCACTGACAAAGAAATGATCAGTCTATAATTTTAATGGTAGGTTTATTTGAACAGTGAGAGACAGAATAACAACAAAATATCCAGAAAAACGCGTGTGAAAAATGTTATAAATTGATTTGCATTTTAATGAGGGAAATACGTATTTGACCCCCTCTCAATCAGAAAAATGTCTGGCTCCCAGGTGTCTTTAATGCAGGTAACGAGCTGAGATTAGGAGCACACTCTTAAAGGGAGTGCTCCTAATTTCACAGAAACTCTCCACTTTGGCCAAGACCAAAGAGCTCTCCAAGGATGTCAGGGACAAGATTGTAGACCTACACAAGGCTGGAATGGGCTACAAGACCATTGCCAAGCAGCTTGGCGATAAGGTGACAACAGTTGGTGCGATTATTTGCAAATGGAAGAAACACAAAATAACTGTTAATCTCCCTCGGTCTGGGGCTCCATGCAAGATCTCACCTCGTGGAGTTGCAATGATCATGAGAACGGTGAGGAATCAGCCCAGAACTACACGGGAGGATCTTGTCAATGATCTCAAGGCAGCTGGGACCATAGTCACCAAGAAAACAGTTGGTAACACACTACGCCGTGAAGGACTGAAATCCTGCAGCGCCTGCAAGGTGCCCCTGCTCAAGAAAGCACATATACATGCCCGTCTGAAGTTTGCCAATGAACATCTGAATGATTCAGAGGACAACTGGGTGAAAGTGTTGTGGTCAGATGAGACCAAAATGGAGCTCTTTGGTATCAACTGAACTCGCCGTGTTTGGAGGAGGAGGAATGCTGCCTATGACCCCAAGAACACCATCCCCACCGTCAAACATGGAGGTGGAAACATTATGCTTTGGGGGTGTTTTTCTGCTAAGGGGACAGGACAACTTCACCGCATCAAAGGGACGATGGACGGGCCATGTACCGTCAAATTTTGGGTGAGAACCTCCTTCCCTCAGCCAGGGCATTGAAAATGGGTCGTGGATGGGTATTCCAGCATGAAAATGACCCAAAACACATGGCCAAGGCAACAAAGGAGTGGCTCAAGAATAAGCACATTAAGGTCCTGGAGTGGCCTAGCCAGTCTCCAGACCTTAATCCCATAGAAAATCTGTTGAGGGAGCTGAAGGTTCGAGTTGCCAAACGTCAGCCTCGAAACCTTAATGACTTGGAGAAGATCTGCAAAGAGGAGTGGGACAAAATCCCTCCTGAGATGTGTGCAAACCTGGTAACCAACTACAATGAACGTCTGACCTCTGTGATTGCCAACAAGGGTTTTTGCCACCAAGTGCTAAGTCATGTTTTGCAGAGGGGTCAAATACTTATTTCCCTCATTAAAATGCAAATCATTTTATAACATTTTTGACATGCGTTTTTCTGGATTTTGTTGTTATTCTGTCTCTCACTGTTAAAATAAACCTACCATTAAAATTATAGACTGATAATTTCTTTGTCAGTGGGCAAACGTACAAAATCAGCAGGAGATCAAATACTTTTTTTCCCTCACTGTAGAGGTGGTTTGACGAAGATTATGCCATGACTGCTCGTGTACCGTACATACAATGTAAGAGTGGTATTTTTTATCTTTCTAAACCTCATAGGATAACATTTTCGTGCCGGTTGCATTTTCCAAGATCAATGTGGTAGGAAATAGCATAGGTATAAAATTGATATATTTAAAAGCATTTGTTGAAAACAGCCCAAACAGCGCAAAATGTCAAATGGCCAGCAACAAAAAGTATGATCAAAAAGTTGCAATGTACAAGAGTTAACGTTTCTTGAATTCAGCAAGGCTATAAGAATTGGAAATATTAATTAAGGAATTACTAAGTGCAGCAGTGCGAGGGAAAGAAGCAAGAAAAGAAGTGTGGTGACCTGCAGTGTGGTGAGTGAATGGAGTGAGGAGTGAGTGGGTGGGTGAGTGAGTCAGCCTGTGCATTGTTGTGACCCACAGGATGGAGGTTGAACAGTGTAAGATATGACGAAGCAGTCAGTCTGGTAGACCAAGTCCTCAAAATCACCGAAGAAATTAGTGAAGTTCACAATAATTATGACAGCAGCTATAGAAGAGTGATAAGAAAGGCGGCGAGCGCGTAACTGGAGTGAATCGGCGAGTGCTGGATCATCCCTGGCTGCTCTACTCTGAATTCTATCAAGCGCAGCGGCGACATAGGGACCGGGCGCTCCACCCCAGGTACCATCTCACCTGGAAAAGACGAGTGAAGATGTCGAACTCGAATATGGAGATGTAGTCGTTGCATGTGAGGTCGATGGTGGATTTTAGGGCCATGGCCTCGAGGCCCGAGCTGATGGGGTGCACCTCGTGCAGGCACTGCCGGAATGCCTTCCACGACACGATGGTCCTGCACAGACATAAAGCACGCACAGCACACATCATCATTATAATAATCATCATTATAACCACCATCATCATCATCATGGCGCTTCACCCAGGAAGGATTACCCGAGTTACAAGAGACTCGTTTTCAAGCGTGTCCTGCAACGTTTTCACATTTAGAAACACGCGTTTAGAATATTTATATTATTTGTCTACTATAAATTTGCGCGCGAAAAGCCACTTCGTTGAGCTGTCATCTGTGGCCAGGTCGCTTCTGAAAGAGAAGCTAATAAGCTCAGTAGGCTTCACCTGGTAAAATAAAAATGGTTTAGTTTTATGCATAGGAGTTCACGTTTCCATATAGGTCAACCCCATATCAATGCCTACCTTATTACCGACAAATTCAGTCCTTATTGGTCACCCCGTGCCCTAATAAATCTCAACGTTCACCCTACAAAGTCCCATCACAAAAAAGAAACACAAAAAAAATGTTTCTCAATTTTCCTATACAACAATATGGGTAAACCGTATGGGTTGACAGGTATGCGTTTCTTGAATTCAGGTATGCGTTTCTTGAATTTAGCAAGGTTAAGCGTTTCTTGAATTCAGGTATGCGTTTCTTGAATTTAGCAAGGTTATGCATTTCTTGAACTTAGCAAGGTTAGAGCTACCGCCAAGATCCCTTGTTTAGCGATTTGCTTACCTTTCCTATACTTTGCACTCTTATCATGTTTTTGTATTGCTTGTTGTTGTAACTTTCTTGCCCGCCCCTAATGGATATCTGTGAAAAAGGAGCTTTATAACTCATCAGAATCCTCCCAGTATGAGTAAAGATTCTGATGTTTATGTTTGCCATATGTAAACCCAATTGAGTAATTTGCAGGTAACGTCTCAGCACTGGGATGTTTTGGTCCAGGGGTCAGCAACCTGCGGCTCCGGAGCCGCATGCGGCGGCTCTTCAAGGACTGCTTCGTGATGTAATTTATTAAGGACCCACCATCTCGTATTCACAATACACATTGCGGCTCTTGAAATATTGATGGTTTTTTACAGTTATTTGAAGTGTCTTTTTATTTTGGTTTACCGACCCCTGCTTTGGCCAATACCAGATACATTGTGGATATAATTTTTAGCTACAATAAAAAAACGAAAACCCAGAGAAAACCCATGCAGAACAAGGGGAGAACAAACACCAGAGGAAGGTGCTCCAGTTCGCAATTGAACCCCGGGCTTTCCTGCTGTGAGGCACACGTGTTACCACCCCATTTCAACGTGTGTGTGTGTGTGTGCACGTGCGTTGTGTGTTGAGGAGCATTCGTTGTAATATGTTACACAACTGCATCCCTGACTGCCATCCGTGTCATGTCACGAGACTGTGCATCCACCCTAATCTCTAGCAGGGCAGTGCAATCCTTCCGTGTATTCGAGAACGGTTCACGGAAGCGGATATCACGGAGCTACCCCTTGATTCCGTCACATGACCTCTGTGCCATATGTAGGGGGAAATGACAGCAATTTCCCAGCCGCTGTGTACGAGAAAGTTAACGTTCGGCATATAAAAGTCAACACCAGGTTTCTTCTAAACCAAACCCGATTTTTGTATTTTGCAGCTGTTAGGTGTATTCGTTATAGTCTTGAACACCATGGGGTATATATAATTGTCCGACTATTGGCAAAAGACGGTTTTGCCAACATTCTCATGAGTAGGAACAATTACCAATAAGTGAAAATACAGCTGCACCCTTGATCAATTTACAAAGAGCCTCAACGATTCACAGCCGAGTATGTGGGGCAATTTATAAAGTGTAGGACAAATTAGCACGTAGGCTTTCGCGACCAATATTATTCATAATAAAGGTTTTTGGGTTAGATCGCGTTATTTATAAATGTGTCTAACCTATTACGAGTGTAGAGGACAAAGTCCGCTCTCTTATTACCTTTAGTTCGGCTATCCAAAATCCCTCCACAACAGTGCACTCTGGTTCGTATGTGCAATCGTACAACTGATGTAGTCCATTGATGTATAATGCAACTCGGAGCCACGAGAGGGCATGACTCACCGGCTGCATTATTCCAGCAGGTCCGTGAGAGTACAATGTTAGCAAAAATGTTAAAACGCGAACAAAAAATGTCATTATGTGATAAATATAAAAATGCAATGGTATTTTGGGGCTTTCGCAATTAACTGAATCATAAAATGTTTAAAATCCATAGCATTCATTTTTTATATGAGAAAGGTTCCACTGCACTACTCGAGTCAAAAACATGAGTATTTATAGTTGTGAATGTGCCAAGCTGCAAAATCCACAAAACACGATTGTGCAGCTATCCAATGATCAAAACATGCATCGGTAGCTCTGAAATTTGACAACTTATCAGTGCAAGCGATGCGCGCAGTTCGATGCAGAGCGCACAAGCCGTGCGCTTCTCTTCACTAAACTAAAATACGTGCGCAGTCGGTCGCTTTATTTTGCAGATTTACAGCCGCCACGCCGTCCAGAATTCAAAATGCCGGTCTGTTCGGCAACCAATGAGCAAGGAGCATTTGGTGAGTGGGCAACTCGCTCGGGTATACAAAGGTGCAGATGGCGTATTCATGATGTTGCCACAGCAGCAGTCGTTAAGGCTCGTCTATGGGAGGCCTTTAGATACACAACAAAGCAGACAATTTAAAAAGCGACTTGCGTGGGTTTTCGCAGTCGTGTTGGACATCTCTCTTTCCGACGTGTTTTCGTTCCGCGTGCTGGGAGCTTCTTCAGAAAATGGACGGAGCGGCTGAATCTTCCGCGATTACGAAGCGCTGCCGGCTGTCGCTGTATGTGTTTGGAGTTTGCTTGTCTCTTCCCGTGGTCCTCTGCTTTTGCCTTGCACATTTAGAATCATGCGCTGAGTATTTGGCTACTATACATTTCCACGTAAGACACTTTTATTGGGCTATCATTTGTGGGCAGGTCGCTTCTGAAAATCAGCTATATAGCTCAGTGGGCCTTACCTGGTAAAATAAAAAAGTTTAAATTATTTAGCTGCTACTTTGGGCTGGAACCACAATTCTCTAGGCCAATTTTATTTCAAGGGATGTCTTGAATTTCCTCTAATATTCAGGCCGAGCAAACAAACTTCACAAAATAGCTTACAATGTCTTGTATGTAGGCCGGCCAATGTGGACTTATGTCCATCACTTGTGCATGCGTCGCAAGACTCCAGATTCCACAAACCGCAACAAAATAATTAAAATAATAGCGTATGAGCTGGATAGGAGCGCACATTTTATAAGCAGTTGTGTTCTAAGCAACACGTGCTTACAATCCATTGGTAGAGTGGTAGTCAGATTCCACATTCTGATACAAGCAGGGATGTTCATATATCCAGTTTCTACAATATAAAAATTTCTCAATTATTACTAGACTTACCACTCTTCTATCGCTATGACTATCATGGTTACCGTCCTCGTGAAGTTGATTCCTCCTCCCATGTTGAAAACTCGGTCTACCAGACACTGACTGTTTCATCTCATCCACACCACTACAATGCAGGTCACTACAACACTCACTCCAACCACACTAACCTCACTCCAACCACCATACTACAGGTCACAGCAACACACACTCCAACTACACACTCACTCACTCCGCCACACACTACAGATCAAAAGATGTCTTCTTCAATTGCACTACTTCACTTTGTAATTTCCTCCCATGGTCATTTTAATCTCTGATACTAAAACTGATCAATTCAAGAAAGGTGCTAACTCCTTATCCACTAACAACATCAACAATGGCTACCGCATATGTTTTCGCAGCCAACATTACGATTAACAATTTACTCTTTTCACGAGGCCGCTTAACGACGTCAAGAAATCTGCGTCGTAAGCACCACTAGTTGCTGGACGCTTGGCGGTTTTGGGGCCTGTGTTTGGCAAGCAGAACTAAAAAAGAAAAAAACATAGGTTCATCGCGGAAGTGCAAGGCACCTGTCTCCAAAGGCCCTCCGCCAGAAGTCGGCTGCATCCGCCTTAGTGATGCGGAACGAGTCTCCCTGGTAGCTGCCGTTGGGAAAGACGGCCTTGAGCTCAGTCAGCATGTGGCTGAAGATGAGCGATAGCTTGGTGAGGTTTCGCCTGCAAGCCACGCACACAAACAAAAAACACACGGTTACGTTAAGTCCAAAAACATGATCAACAACACAACACCGCCCGACACTGCCGAACAAATTAAATGGTCAATTGTGCTAGAGTTTATCGCGCCATTAATTATCGTTTCACTTCACTGGTAAGTTGAAAAACAATCCTCACAAGAGAAATATAATTTGTTTGGCTGTGTTAGGTACTTTGAGGGGTCTTAAAAGGCAACAATTGGTCAGATCGTTACGAGGCGTTAGCCAAAAATCAATTATGAATCATAATATTGGCTGTGAAACCCTATGTGTTAAATTATTAACACTTACTTGCTCATCCTCTTGAGTAGAGTGTATGAGCCCCCTCTCAATCTAAATCACATTACAGTAAGATATGTAGTTGTAAGAAGGCCAGCTAGGCAGACTAAAAAATTCACATTTTAATGCCATTAACTTGTTAATTACAGTGTGTGTTCACAAACCAGCCGTGCGTGTAATCATGGGAAGAAAACATTGACACTGACACAGGTTCTAACGAGCATGGACGTCATGATAAAAACACACACTTCACCACCACATGTTTTCAGCATTGATATATGACAAATGAGCACTGGAATTTGTCACAATCGTTCTACTAACGTAAACACACACAAGCGATGAGTTAAATCCAATAAAAAGGTTCAACTGCTTCAATCGCAGACAACGAACAACGGGGGGGAGGGGAGATAATTTCACCTACCAATACCGCAGCAGCAACTTTTAAACAACAGCTGCATTGTCTGAACCGAAACATCTGTCGGAGCAAGAGCAAGCCAGGGTTGTTTTGAATTAAGCATCGGACATGGAAATGAGTGGGTTTTTTCAATCCCCACTTGGTCACCGCCCCCCACCCCTAATAGCATGCAAATGTCAGCTTCTCCACTGTTAATGAGAACCAAGGAGCACCGGACTTCCTCTTCAGCTGGGGGAAACGTGGAACCCGTGGCTGTCGTGTGCAACTGCCCGTCATGCGCCGATATTTTTCCAAGCAAAAAAAAATTTCTGAGAAATTATTTCTGCAAAATAAAAAATAAAAGAAATCTCCATTTCATCGAAGAAGTTTAATTTAAAAAAATGTATTTTACCAGGTAAGGCCCAATGAGCTATACGGCTCTTTTTCTAGAAGCCACAAATAATAGCTCAAAGAAGTGATTTTTTACGTGGCAATTCATAGCAGCCAAAATACTCAAAACGCATGCATCTAAATATGGAAAGAAAAACCGGACGCGAAAAAAAATCCACGCGAATACGGGGAACATGCACGACCTCCTGTCTACCAGGCGAGGTAGTTCACATCATTACCGCCACCATGGCGCCCCTCCCGACACAGTAAAAATGTAGCATGTACATTGAGTCATGGGTCAAAATCTCTATAATATTCATGACCTGATATGAGCTCACAGTTGCAGAGTAACATCATTGGAAACTTAACTTGCTACCCTAGTTCCTCGGTGCTCCAAACACTCAGGTCTTTACACACACAGCTCTTAGTTAAACCTGACTTATGTTCGAAATGACCACTCTCAAAAACTATCAATATACACACGTGTGCTCAACTGTTCCACATGTTCCAGTCTTTAAAAGCTAAAGCCATTATAATTACAACTATGTCTCTAGCGCAATGGCTGTCATTCGGTTGCTTTTGTCTAAACGATGAAAATGCTGTAAACAAAATTAAAATAACATCAGCCCAAGAACAAATGACTGCGTGCACAGGTGCTGCGACAGTTATCCTGGTTGGTGGATATTTGGTGGTGGTCAATACGAAGCTGCGTGTGCGGTGGCACTGTAATTCATGCAAACCGCCACGGTGGCTAAACATAGCACCATAGCCTTGCACAATACATCACAGCGACTGCCCAAAGCAGTGAAACGATGGTTAGCACTTTTCCATTAAACCTGGCGAGCACGACTAACGTCTGTGGCTAGCGTTATCCGAACCGGATCTTGGTTTCCGTCTTCACCAAGCTGCACTAGTCAAGCAGCCTCCACGACCGCCATGGCCATAGGGAGATCGTCGACCAGAAGACAATTGAAAAACTGGCCGTGCACTTTAATGGACACCACTAAAACATCGCTAATGTGGCTCAAACGCAGCAAAACAACGGAACATACAACTTATGCTTTGGATACATGATCCCTCTGCAAGGGGGAAATGGACCTCGGCAGTTCATCATAACCCCCCCCCCCCACCAAAGAAAGAGGTGATCATGCATCTTGATCTGACTGTGGCAGGGTGCCAGTGGTCACGCTCGTGCCTCATAGCAAGAAGGACCTGGGTTCGATTCCCGCCTCGGGCGCCTTTCTGTGCGGAGTTGCTACGTTCTTGCCCCATTATGCTGGGTTTCCCGTTTTCTGAGACTGACAAAACATTAGAATACTGGATAATTACTTGCAAGTACTTAATTGGGATTACATACAGCAGGAACATCGCCCTCTACTGAATAATGTAGCAGGACCCTACTAAAAGTGTCGAGATATTCAAGACGTTTTTCTGGGTAAACAAGCGTTGTGATAATAATGTATTTAAATGATGGGGTATCTTGTAATGTTAGTCTACTGGATTAGCCTCCTTCAGGAATATTAGCCAGGTCTGCTGTTAATTTAGCGCTAAATATAGACAAGTGCATATGCACTTGTAAATTGTGGGCTGACATATGTATTAAATGTGATGCTATATGGAAAGACACCAACTAAAATTTATATTTTAGGACGACCGCTTGTGTTGCGATCGAAACGTCGTGATATATATTTTTTTCTTCTACCTACGTAACTTTACCGAAAGAACCAAAGAGTATTAATATTTGGCGGTTTTTTTTATCAAAAAGGCAGGCAGACGAGGTTGATGAAGCAAAGACTTCAAAAGTCTGTTGGATCACATCATGGAGCCTCACCCAAACTTCACTCTTTTTTAGAACTTACGTAACCAACCGTGCTCATCGGAGCACGGTTGGTTTTCAATTTAGAATAAAAAGTGCATAGCTCCAGTGGCTTCCTAATATCGGGAGGAAGAGCATTCCAGATGGCTGCAGAGGCGCATTTTAAAGCACGCGATGCAGTGACAGTCTTTCTTCGATGGTTAGCCAAAGCCATTGCGAGGATGACTGGGGTTTGGTGATGGTTTATGTTCCTTGACGAGATTAGCAAGGTATTGAGATTCAGACCAACTGCACAAGTGTTTTTCTTGCCTGGGACATTGTTGCTACTTTCATAATATTTTTTTTATTGTGACGTTTGCTGAACATAAAGAAACTAGGACAACTGAACACAATATAATGTGGACGTGTTTTTACAGGTGCCCGATAGAAAATATAATCTCGGTTTTGAACTAAAAAGTACACCGAGCGGCTTGCGTACACGCAAACAACCGTGAACCAAGTTAGTTCATCTTGTGATTGCAAACGCATGTGGACCACATTCGCAATTAAAGATAAACTAAGTCACAAAAACGTGCGCATTCCGCAGGTTGTTCAAATTACACGTTTCACTCAGTTGCACTTTAGGCACACATTTTTTAAATCAGCTATTCAACAGCTTGGTGAAACTGTTCAGTTTCCCAGAGACATCGCCTGAAAATGGTACTCGAAAGCATTAGTAAAATTATAAACAGAAGTTAACACAACAGGGTTTGTGCCGATAAGGCAACTTCCTAAACTAGGCCTAACACAGCTGAGAAGTTGACTTCTTCATAAGCTAAAGTTAGCTTTTGAAACGGCATATGTAATTTTGCATGGAACTATAGTAATTATGCAACTGCTCATGCTGCAGCCACAATGTTAGTGTTGCAGGAGTTTAAGAGGGCTGCGTTATGCGGAATTTTATTTTTGCAGTGGAAATAAATGTACAAGTGATGGAAATGCCATTTAAGAAGCTCGTTACATTCAGAATAAGACGTATGTTAATAATTACAACATCAACTAGTTTCTCCAGCCTGGGCCAACTAAGAGATCAGACAAGGAACAAATGGATTAGAGAACATAAACTAAACAAAAAATTGTATTTTACCATGTAAGCCCCACTGAACTATATAGATTTTTTCCGAAGTGACCTGGCCACAAATGACAGCCCAATCAAGTGGCTTATCATGTGGAAATGTATTGCAGCCAAATACTGAAAACACATTGTTGATTCTAAACGTGGAGAGAAAAAACGGGGGACCCGGAGAAACATCCACGCAGCCACAGAGAGAACATGCAAACTCCAAATGCACACAGGCGTCATGGTCGGGATCGAACCCACGACTTCCTATATACCAGGCGAAGCGAATGAGAGATATGAAATTAACTTAGAGACAGTGAGTGGGCTTTGGCAGGACACGTTGCTCGAATGGATGATGGGTGGTGGGCAAGACTAATGACAGAGTGGCAGCAAATGGAAGGGAACTCGCCCCGTGAGGACGTCCAGTGGATGTCGATCGTGCGACGTTGAACCGGTGTTTTTCAACTTCCCTGAGGGGGAAAAAATGCTTCCGACCACGATCTCGCGTTTTATTCGGTGTATGCAGAGGAAGTCGTAGAGGCTTTCCCCTTTATTTACTCTCGGGAACAGGAACCAAGAAGCCTGAAAAGCACGTGGCAAGGCGACGTCCAAATGAGAGACATTAAATAATTAAGTGGGACCCCATGTGGGAATGAGATGACCGCATCTACACATGACCATTAGTGTTATTGATAGCACGAGGAGACCTCGTGTCTAAATGTGTACAGATGGAAGAGGACTGCCGGTGCTGGTACATCGGCCAGAAAACAAGGGATCCACTTCATGTCACTATCATAAGAGGGCGGGGGGCAGGGGGGTAATTTACAATGACAATTTGGCAAACTTAACGAATGATTTTTTATTTATTATGATCATGAGCATGATGTGCTATGTGGTGTTAGCGTGAGCAGAATATCCAAGACTGTTGCTGCTGCTGACCATATGCAACACAAGCTGTAGATTGCGGTGCTTGCGAAGTGCCCATGT